AAGCAGAAACCCAGGACCCCTGCAGTGGGGACAAGACCCGCGGCCCCAAACCCCGTCCCCGAACGGAGCCAACCCCACTGCGACAGGGTCCCCCAAGTTGAGCCGAGGGGAGGACCCGCTTCGCCCTCCCCCAGCGACGGGTTAAAGGGTTGGGTTTAACCCAAAGAGCGAAGTTTATCCTCCAGCCTTGGTTGTGTTTAAGCCATCCATGAGCATCGGAGCCAGGGCAGCGCACGCAAGCGTGTCTCAGGAGGGAAACACTAAAAGCCCTTCTGAAGGATGCCGTCCTCCTTCCTATGGGTTTTGCACCTTAATTTTCACAGAAGTGGATATTAAGATTATCAGCATTATTAACTCTAACCCCAGGCAGGATCTGGGCAGTCCCGGCCCCAAAGCAGTAACAGCACAAAAAAACCTTGGGAAAAAATCAAGATCGGAAAAAGCTTTTTCTAGGATGAGCCAAGCCCAGCGTCGGTCCCAGCCCCACCGCATCCATCCCTCGTGCGGGACCGGCCGGGCTGGTCTCTAGAGCAAACCAAACGTTTATGAAATAGTTAAGGGAGGAGAAGGAACAGGAGGGAGAGCCCCAGCGCGATGCTCCTGCCATCGCCCGATGCTCGGGTGGAGAGGTGCGTGGTACCCTGCTCACCTCCCTGCGCGAGCTGCAAGCTCCTGCTGCACCGGGCACCCAGCCCCAGCCGAAAGGAAACGGCACCAAACAGGAAGGTGTTAAAAAACCCCGGTACCAACCTCAGAGGAACCACAATAAATAACCTCCCCGACGCCCGAGTAAATACGGTGGGCTGCTCCCCGCTCGCCTTCCTGTTTGCTTTCGCAGATCCGGGCTGGGATGGCCACCTCCAACCACCGGCTCCGTCCCAGCGTAGCAGAGCTCCAGCCGCAGCACCATGGCAGCTGCGGCACCCTCCACCCACGTCGGACCCTGGCATCGTCCCTGCCGCGGGGGACCACGGGTGCGAGCTTCCCCAAAGGGCCAGATTTTATCGCCCAGGGACAGGCACCAGTCCTGCATCTGAGCCCACGCCTGCTGCGTTTTCCTTGCTCGTCTATATTTGTTTTTATTTTAAGAGGAGGAAATCCCGGCTCACCCACTCCCCGTCGGTGAGCCACGTCCTCCCTCCCTGCCTCAGTTTCTCTCTCTCTCCATGCAGCTGATCCTCCCCATGTGGGAACTCCCCCCACTGCCCAGACCCCCCTTCTCCCTCCCTACCCACGCAGCCCTGGATGAAAAGCAACGGGTCCTGATTTACGGGCACTTTTGTTCTTTACCACGAACACAAAGGAGAGGGGAAAAAATAATTAGAGGCACACTCACATTGAAGATCTGTGTCAGGAGCAAAAAGGGGGTCTGGGGCAAACA